TGTAGATGTAAGCTTGAAGTCTGTCATGTCGCTGTAAGCTGCATGAAGTCTGTTATGTTGCTGTAAGCTACATGAAGTCTGTTATGTAGATGCAAGCTACATGAAGTCTGTCATGTCGCTGTAGGCTACATGAAGTCTTATGTCGCTGTAAGCTACATGAAGTCTGTCATGTCGCTGTAAGCTTGAAGTCTGTCATGTCGCTGTAAGCTACATGAAGTCTGTTATGTCGCTCTATGCTTGAAGTCTGTCATGTCGCTGTAAGCTACATAAAGTCTGTTATGTCGCTGTAAGCTACATGAAGTCTGTTATGTTGCTGTAAGCTACATGAAGTCTGTTATGTAGGTGCAAGCTACATGAAGTCTGTTATGTCGCTGTAAGCATGAAGTCTGTTATGTCACTGTAAGCTACATGAAGTCTGTCACGTCGCTGTAAGCTTGAAGTCTGTCATGTCGCTGTAAGCTACATGAAGTCTGTCATGTCGCTGTAAGCTTGAAGTCTGTCATGTTGCTGTAAGCTTGAAGTCTGTCATGTCACTGTAAGCTACATGAAGTCTGTCACGTCGCTGTAAGCTTGAAGTCTGTCATGTCGCTGTAAGCTACATGAAGTCTGTCATGTCGCTGTAAGCTTGAAGTCTGTCATGTCACTGTAAGCTACATGAAGTCTGTTATGTAGATGTAAGCTTGAAGTCTGTCATGTCACTGTAAGCTACATGAAGTCTGTCATGTCACTGTAAGCTTGAAGTCTGTCATGTCACTGTAAGCTTGAAGTCTGTCATGTTGCTATAAGCTTGAAGTCTGTCATGTCGCTGTAAGCTGCAAGAAGTCTGTCATGTCGCTGTAAGCATGAAGTCTGTCATGTAGATGTAAGCATGAAGTCTGTCATGTCACTGTAAGCTACATGAAGTCTATTATGTTGCTGTAAGCTTGAAGTCTGTCATGTCACTGTAAGCTACATGAAGTCTGTTATGTTGCTGTAAGCATGAAGTCTGTCATGTAGATGTAAGCATGAAGTCTGTCATGTCACTGTAAGCTACATGTGTACGTGAAGTAATAGTGTTATAGATAGAAGCTGTAACTATCAGAACTGACACTGAGGGCAGCAAAACAATGTGTTTCCCGAACACTTAATGATTAAAAAGCGGTAGTCGTTGCACAGCGTGTGTTTGAATTCCATGTACCGGTAAACATACAATGTGTTTTACTGGCATTGTAAATGCTAAAAAATATTCAATTACTGTAAAATTTCTATTTAGGCATCATTTTTCAAACATTTCAATCTTTTCTGATGCCTAAATTAGAGTCTTATTTAGTTTTTTTTTTGTAGTCACTGACACTAATTCAAGAGTTTGTTAAGGCTAATGTGAATGGGTTACACTTGTTTTGACATTGCTGCATCTGCCAAAAATACAATGTTTCAAAAAAATCACCGTTCAAAAATATATATCATTAATAGTATTATAAAACTATAGCTCAAGAGTATGGCTTCCTCTCATATTTGGCATTTGGTGGCACGCTTTTATTTCTGCTAGGACTGGAAAGCCGAAAACATTTAACTGTTTCAGGTCTGTCTATTTCAGTGGAACACTTATCCAAAACTGGAAATGTGTTATGAGCATTGCACAGGCACTTTAAATAACATTTTTTTTTTCATGTTTGACTGTACTCTGTACTGTTTTTCAATATTTCATGATGCCTATTTTAGAACCAAATTTAGGCCTATCGCTTTTTCCTGATGCCTAAATTAGAGATTTCATGGTGGTGTATTATTTCAAGCTAATTTTAAAACATTGAAATAATATTCAAACAAATCAACCACTTGGGAAACATATTTTCTAAATTTAACTACCAACAAAACTGAACTGAAGTGATTGTTTACGGTAGTTATCAAAAGAGCAGTAAGTCAACTTTAGTAGTAGTGGTTGCTGTAAATGCCAGTCATTGTGACACTCTCGTAATCACACAGTCTGGTATGTGCAGTTGAAGGAGCATGGCGTTTACCACCTCTGACCATAGTACTGGATGATTTGGTCATTTCAGAAAGTAGATTAATGAAATCCGATTAGAAAATGCTGCTGAAGATACTGATGATGTAGGTACTGTCGATGCTCATAAACATTAGACTCCCATAAATAGTACTTAAAGTACTACACAATCAGTCCATAGGTTGAAGAAAAAATGATTTTACCAATTTGAAAGCTTTAGTAGAGCTGTTTAGTACAGTGAGACTTACAAGAAAATAATCCCTATTGTTTAGAAGCATAATAATAGTATACTTGGGTATTTAAAAAAAGATAAACACTGTACCTGAAAATTACTGAATGCATTTGTTTCTGGATTCTTAGGTTTTTCTATTTTTTTACCAGATCTTTTCTTCTAAAATTTAAAAATAAACATAGTTGCAATTGTATATAATTTAAACCTTTTTAAATGATATTGAAAGTTGTGCCAAAAATGTTGAAGCCTTTGAATTGATGCAAGCTGCATTCATGAATTCATAATGAGAATAGTAAAATCATATATTATTCGGTAATGTTACTTTTCCTGCATTTTTTTTTTATAAAACTGATATTCATTCATTACAGTAGAAAGTGTTGTTTGAATTCGTTTCGTTTCGAGTCGTTTTTGTCCACACTTTGTATAAAAGTAGTTTACTTTGTCTCATAAACCAAGATGTTTGGCCAAAGATGTGAACAACAGTAGCATTTATCAAGTGAATCACAAAATACTGCACGTAAAATACTCAATCTAAGTGCCCTAATTCCACTCAAAAATTTCTCTCCTGAGTGTCATTTTGAGTTAAATTGTCCAAGTAGCGAATTGCACGTTCTCATATTGTTGTTGAAAAAACGTGGCAGACATACATTTTTAGCTAAAGCATCATAATAACATGCAAGATATACCCAAATAACAGCATTTCACTGCAATATCTTGCAAGAAGTTGAAAGAATTGTGGTAATAAAATAAACTGCAGCCAAAGCAGACATGATAACAATAGAATGGGACTCATTGCAAATCTTTCGTTTTATTGTTATCTGAGAAACATTATCTTTTAAGATAAAATAGCCTCCATGTCTCTGTCAAATTATGGATTTTAAACATCCCATGATCCTTTAACAAGGTAAAACACTGAGGTGAGTGAATATCAATAATATCAATGTGTATGTTTTAAACTAATTTGTTTCTGTGTCATTTATTCAGTGAGGACTTCCCACATGGCACCAAACTTCCCATACATAACAATCCAGTATCTAGTACGGGACCTGTACAAAGGTAAGTTATTATGAGGACACATGTCGTTGTTTGAATAGTTTCACAATTTAATAAACGAATAAATATACTTTTAGGATTAAATAAAAGAGCAAATATTCTAATGAGTCGGACAACTGAATGTCATCACATGCTTCTGATAAGTATTTATAAAAATGTGCTGTCAGTTAGTTGGTAAGAAGTATGTAAAAGGAATATATACATGTATGTATATTTAATTAGTATTTATTTTATTTCTAGAGAGAAGCGGGAGAGAGAACTGGATATGTTCCTTAAGAAGCGATACAATAGACTTGGAGATAGAGTCCAGGCCAAAATAACACACATGGAAAACTTGACGACAAATCCAGAGTTAATACTAAAATAAATTTTAACCACTGTAGAACAAAATGTGTATACTATGTAAATTTACAATTTATTGTTGTGTCAGAAGGTGCTTGTATGTATCTTCCTTCAACTGTTTTTTGTTTTCTTTTTTAATAAGGAACTGTTATTTTTTTTCCGTTTGATATTTGGTTGTAAAAAATATTTGTTATACAAAATCTAATATTGTACATAATTTAGATACATTCTGTAGTGACAATTTTTGTAATGACCTGACATCTTAATTCTCCTAGTTCTTATGTTACTAACAATTAAAACCACTCAACATTTGGACTCGCAGAAAGGGGAGTACAGTTGCATTTTCTTCAGCCAGTGATTTATCAACCCTCACTTCTTCTGCTCTAAGTTTCAAACATTTCTATAACCATATATATGTAAAGAATGCAATGTGCTTTAGTAGTGAGGCAATGGAGTTGATTAACATCAATTCATTCAAATGAGAACTTACTGATTGACCTGTGTGTGTGTATGTGTGTCTATGCGTACATCCACCATTTTGTTTTAATGGTGTTAAAATGGATGTTCTGACTGATCATATTCAAACATTGTATGTACATCATCTCATACAAATGCACATACATTTGTATGACAATCCTATTTTAGATAGCTGAATAGCACCTATTTTATTGCAATAAAATCAAGCATTTCTGCCATCTCGGATATGAATTTCGGTCATACCAAAACTTTGTAATACAGTGCACATTGAACATTATGGTAGCTTGATGTACGTCATGTTGTTTTTAGATCCGATTAAAAAAAGGCCAAAAAATAGGGTCAAAAGGATGTTTTTGCCTGTTCTTGGTAATGTATTGACCAAATGCATTCATACACTGCATACAAGTAGTGCACAATACATTACATAGATGTATGTTGATAGGCACAATGTCACAATCACAGTCTACTAAAGAAGGCTATGGACATATTTTATCTTGCTTACTTGAGATTATTAACTTCTATGAAGTTTAGAAAAGTTTCTTTCAGATCTCATTTAGTAATTTCTTTCTTCTAGTCTAAGTTTTGTGTAAATACAGAGTGCATCATATAAATATGCATGATCTTTCCCACTGATGTATAGATTTCAATGACTCCTACTACTTACATGTATCAAAATCCTGTAATTGCAGCTGTACTGCATTGGTTCGCAATTTTTGTTCCTATTTTTAAACTCACCTTTGTGGTACCTAATGAACACAGATTGAGTATTCTCAGGGGCGAACATCCGGGCATTTTCACCTCCTGGCAATCATCATGGTGAAAACAAAGGCCGACAACTCACAGAAAACTACTTTTGGATAGTTGTTGAGACTCCTGAACAGTGTAACACCATATTACCTCTACATGTGCATGGTTTCTCAGAATTATTTCAAAGTTGAGTTTGTGTTGTTTCCTGTATTTTAGCTGTTCTCACCAGCTCTTGGACCGTTGTTCCACAGAAGCTCATTCAGGCCAAATATAAATACATGGTACAGTGGTGCATGTCTTAATAACATAGAATGTTATTTGATGTAGCTCTGCTCTCCAGAATAAGACCAGAATGTTCATTATGATGATGTGTATGTAACATACAGTACACAGACAGCTGGAAATCTTGTTCGGTACTGCAATAGCAATTTTGCACAGTATTATATAGATTAAAAATATGAAATGATTGCTGAAAAACACAGCTCATGTTCCTTTAATATTTTGTTGATATCACCGTATACGACTTCGTACTTTTGTACGTTCCTTTCCACAAAGATGTGTTGTTGTTGTAGCCGTGTTGGCTACTTGCAATGTGTATATCCTATGACAACCAACAACTATATAAACTCCATATCTTTGTGAAATGAACTTTATGCATCTGATTCATTAAACCAATTCACTTCTAATTATTACCACTATTGTTTAAGTTGGATATTTGTTGGACAAGTTAGACAAAGTGGGTTGTACTTCCTTTGCAACTAGCTGATATCCCCTGGTAAAATAATTAGTATTACCCACCATGTGCATCACACCCCTGGTTTCTTGGCAATATCGGTAGAATATTTAGTTTCTGACAGAACTCGATGTTGCCATAGAAGTTTGAACATTGATCATCTTGTAATGAACTATAAAAACAAAACAAAACAGGTAATGTTTCTTCTTACCCAGACTTCTTATCCAGACAGACTGGATTGGTTGCAGAACCTGTGAACACTGGCTCAGTTACACAGATCCCTTAGGGGGATCCACACTATAGCTGATTCACTTTCATAGTCTCAAGCCAGGTTTTTTAGCCATGGAATGGCAGATCTTGGGTCAGACTGTCCCAGAACTATTCAGCATCTGGCTGGAACCGTTCATTGATTTTTTCACACTGTTGAACACCCAAAGACTGGTGGTGTAACGTGCAAAATCCCTTAAATACGAACACTTAATTACACGAAGAACATAGAACACTTTTCCGGGGATATTTGAAACCGAAATTGTCATCTAACTGTGAGCCCGTCGCTGATTGGCTGCTGAGCTGGAATGACAATTTTTGGTTTCAAATACCCCAGGAAAGTGTTCTCGGTTCTTGGTGTAATTAGGTGTTCGTATGCAAGGGATTTTTCCATACAAAAACACCAAATTTGGCAGAATTTTGTTTTCGGTTGGCTTAATATAACCCCAACGAATCGCATTTTTGTGAAAGATTGGTATTTTTGTCCAGATTTGTTGGAATCTGAAAAACGCATTTCACAACTTGTCTCTTATTTAGTTTTATGCCGCATTCAAGATAAATATCGCATTTATTAGTCCCCGTTCGGACGAAGTCCGAAAACGGGGACTTATAATTCGGTGTCCATCTGTGCGTACATGCGTTCGTCCAGAGTCATATCTCAGAATCCCTTGGACCGATCCCGTTCATTCTTTGCATGTGCCTAGTACTTTATGTGGGACATCTGCACATGCAGTGGTTTAGCGATTCGATTCAAAATGGCCGACTTGTTTTTTGAAAATGTCGTATTTTGGAAAAAAAAAGTCATGCTTTGTCAGTTTTCATTCAAATTTAATACATAGATCATGTTAGAATACATGTCCCCAACCGTTCGTGAGTTCCTGAGTCTGTCCATCCGTCCGTCCGTGTGTGTGTCAGTCCATCCTTGCGTCAGTCTGTCCAGAGTCATATTTCAGAATCCTGTGGACCGATTTCGTTCATTCTTTGCATGTGCCTAGTACTTTATGTGGGACATATGCACATGCAGTGGTTTAGAGATTTGATTCAAAATAGTCGACTGGCAGCCATCTTGTTTTTTGAAAATGTTGTATTTTGGACATGCTTTATTTGGACATGCACAATTGGATCAAAGATGGCTGACTGGCAGCCATCTTGTTTTTTGAAAATGTCGTATTTTGGACATGCTTTGTCAGTTTTCATTCAAATTTAATACATAGATCATGTTAGGATACATGTCCCCAACCGTTCGTGAGTTCCTGAGTCCATCCGTCCGTCTGTGTGTCCGTCCATCTTTGCATGTGCCTAGTACAAAATGTATCTTATGTGGGACATATGCACATGCAGTGGTTTAGAGATTTGATTAAAAATAGTCGACTGGCAGCCATCTTGTTTTTTTGAAAATGTTGTATTTTGGACATGCTTTGTTGTCATTCAAACTTGGTACATAGATTATACATGTTAGGATACATGTCCATAACGATTTATTTTGCAATTGGATCAAAGATGGTCGACTGGCAGGCATCTTGTTTTTTTTTTCATTCAAATTTGGCACATACATGTACTTTATACATGTTAGGATGCATGTCCTATGACAATTTGTTTCAGTCATCTGACTGACTTTTTGGCCTTACTACTATATTTCCACAATTTATGTACCATTTTCATTCGAATTTGGCACATACATCATACATATCAGTGTGTTTCATAATCAGATCAAAGATGGCCGAATAACGGCTGTTTTTATTTTTGACCATATTACTACTACACGGAACACTTGTTTTGATGTAAATAAACAATCTGTTGTATACGTCACTTGGAACTCAAGTTTCAAGGACAAGCTCGCAACAACCCCTCCGCTTTAATATGACGAGCACAAAGAGAACTTTCAAAAATCTAACGGGGACTGTGTCATTTTCACTGACTTGTTTTATTATCACATGTGCGCCAGCTGACTGTGGTTTTAGCATGGAAAAATAGAGCATCCCTATATATTCTACTTGTATTACCAAGAAACCCTAGAAGTGCTGTGCATCTGGTGGGTTTTATCATTATTTTATGGCTGGCAGCAAGCACAACCAAATTCAGACAAATATCTAACGTAAACAATAGTGTAATTAATTAGCAGTGACTAAACAAGTGTACTGGCTGGAGGCAGTTCTATTTTATAATACTCCCATAACAGTATACTGAATGCCGTTGTATAACATTGTAGCTTTGAGTACTACAGAACAGCCAGCATGAGGAGTGCTTTTATCTATGTAAACTTGTACTGAATCCTGTCCAAAAATTGTCAATTGGAAACAACCCTATATGTACAGTAAATTTGTATCATTAGGAGTTGTATAAGTAGCACTGTAACTTTCTCATAAAATTCCCCAAACCTAGTGATTGTACATTATATTCTTTGTAAATTTTAATTTGCTGATTTGAATGGTATAATTTAATTATTAACCACATTGTGTTCTATCCTACAATATATGCAATAATGTTTTGGATACCAAGTTTTTTTTGTATCATATATGCTGTAGCATAAAAATAAAAACTTTTTGTACAGTGAATCGCTGCTGCTGTCTGGGAGCGTATTTGTAACAGTTCAAGATTGTCGTCTGTATTTATTTGAAATTTCATGCATATAAAAAACAGTATTTTTGCTTTGTACCAAATTTACAGACACTGTTTGCCATGCCTGTCAGAAATGGGCGAGGAAATTTGAAAAATAAAACAAAAATGGCATTCGCTACATCTTGGGTAAATTGTATTTTATTGTTTGTTTTTGCCTACATTAAACACACACAGTGAAAATA